CACATCAGAGACACTTGCATTTGGAATAAAGCACATGGTAGGTACCACACCTGCCCAGAGCAATCACTGGATTCAGAATGGATGGATGGAGAAAGGCTTATGAAGACAAGCTCTGACATTAATAGCTCAGTTCTTTGCACTTTAAACCTTTTGATTATCTAGCTGAACCCAGCTACAGGAAAATTCCATTTTCCCCGATGAATTGATTACCAGCTGAGCTAGTCCAACTTGACATTCYCAATGTCTCTAATTTGCAGGCCAGCTAGGAAGAAAAAAACAAAAGGCTCTCCAGCCACAGGAATATGCCAGCCCTCCATTTGCTTCCATACAGAGCTGTTTCTGTGTAGTTTGACATTCCAGTGACATGACTGCTAGGTACTCAGTGCTGAATAGCAACAAAAATCTTGGAAAATGCTCAAAATCATAGTGTTTTTATGTTCCCCTTTGTTCTTTTTCTTCTTCAATACCCTGCCTGCATAGACTGCAGGTTTTACGATCTCCTTATTTAGAGGCACATGCATCAGACACACCACAGCTGAATGCACCTTACAAGAAGCTCCTATCCACATCCCTGCYCAATCAATCATCATCAATCACCAACCTCTTGTGTACACTAATAGAATTAGAATACCTGGTAAATAAATTAACTTATTAATTACAATAACAAAAACACAACTTGTTGCAAACATCTAATAACGTTACTTACGTAAGTTTGTCAGTGTACAAAAAGAAGTATGCTTTGCATGACTACCTGTTCCGATGTTCTGCAGGATCAGGCCTTCCCTGTAATAACCTCYTTTGCCCACATCACCCAAAAAGACATTTTCATAGAGATATTACAGGATTTTTGTTSTTTAACTTGGAAGTCTACAACTTAAATATCTGCATTTCATTATCAACTTCAATGCCATTTCTCATAGCCAAAATAAAGATGAAAACAGCTCCAGGGCAATTATCATAATTATGTACGAGAACCATAGGGTGGACAAGAAATTATTTTCCCCCTCCCTCGGCTACAACAGAAAATTAAAGAAAGAAAGCCAGATGGAAACATTATAGAAATCTGAATTCAAGTGAGACAAATCCCACCTTATGTTTAACTCCTTTTGCTCCATCGAGTCAAAGCTGTTTTGTTGCAATGAGCTCTATTCTCAAGAATTTATCTAACATTCAACAAAGCCTTACATGACTATCTCTTCATGTTGGCAAATTTTTTAGTTAACTTTAGCTGCTTGGTTGACTTTTACAAGAAGCAAACAGCAATGTCTACTACATACACCTAAACTAAAGGGGATAAATCTTTTATATCCTTTATATTCTTTATACATTCCACACACACATACATACATATACATATACATATATATATATATATATATATATATATACACACACCACATATATACTACATATATATATATAAACCCTTTATATCCCGTGTCGTTCATTTCAGGTGAGAACGTAGCACCCACATTTGAATTTACACTTAATGCTTACATATAATATTAAGAATTACATATAGCTTGGTGTTTTGATTTAAAAATCCCAAACAAACAACTATTCAGTGTACAGCTTTTGTGATAAAACTAGTTTAAAGTTTTAAAAAAGGAAAAATCGTAAGGGTAGAYAAGCTCTGCATCAGCAATTGCTGAATAATAGAGCTTTCAAAAACACTCAGAGTATGTCTTCCTTTCTGATTTAAAAATCTATTTTACTTYTTTTTTTGTATTCTTTTTCAGAKTTCTTGGAATTAACGCTTCAGGGGGTAGAAATGGGTAGCAAACCAATATGCACTTTCCATTTCTGGCCCTCTGTTTTTGAAATTTATGATAAAGGAATATCTGCTAACATGGAGAGGAGCTCAACATTTTAAAAATAATCCATCTTCTACAGTATCACTCTAAAATCTTAATATCTTACAATTCTATCTGTTCTGCAGTAGGAATCCAATTGGGGAGGASAAAAATTCTATTTCATAGGAGGATAAGGTTCAATTATTGTATTCTTATAAATTGTATTTACGAAGCATGAAAAGTTCCTATTATAGATAAAACTGAAAAGCCCATATACAACATCTGTAAGAATAAAGGGATCCAACTGAGTTTATATTAATACGCTTTTGCCTAGAATTCAACATGCTTGTGTCAGCAAAGCACTTAAGCATGAGCTTTACTTTGAGCACATGATGAAGTACTTAAATGAATTGAAGCAARCTATTAACTTACTTGAAAGTTTAGTAACATTAAACTAATCTTAACTGGGTGGAAAATCAGGATAACTGTACTGTTTTACATCCTCCTTACTTACTTTTATTTCCTATAGTTATATGTGGAAATACTGTACACAAAATTATATTATTCATGTATTTGACATTAATATGCCATATTGTAAGATTAGAGGATTTAACCAATTAGAGAACAATATAAAAATATTCAGAGTTATCTCTGTGCTTTTCTGTTGCAGTTTATTAGAAACACTCTTCTGTAGCCAACCTAATTTTTCAATTTGTAAAGCATGGAACACAGATAGCTCTTTATAACTGGGGGTCATAGACTGATAAGCTTGTTCCAAGAGGACATAGTTGCAATCTCTCTAAAATCAGTCAGAATTCTAAAGTTAAAAATTTTCAATATTTATCGAAGATGTACACACAAACCTGAAAGGGATTGAACTGAGCACACTTCTTACCRAAGACATGATTGAATATAAAGTTGCACATTCTTGAATGCTTGCGTTTGACAAACTATTTGAAACTTAGCTCAAGTCTTAAAGAGGAAGTTAAAACAGAAATGTTGAGCTATCTAGATGGTTCATTCAGAAAAATTAACAGGAATTTTGTTTTCAATCCATGTCAGTGTTGAAAAACATCTTCAATTAAGAAAAAAACACTATAAAGAAATAGAACATAAATTTGCTTGGATGAATAAGCTATTTTTTCAATTTCTGTTTTCCACCAAATGTTCAAAAATTAATTGCAAGCTAACCTGAATACATGCCTTATAATTCTTTATTTCTCCTGTCTGCCAACAACAATAAAACAAACTAACAATGAAGCAAAACAAACAACTTGTATTTCCACACCTCCAATTATAACTAAAACTCAGAGTCCCTAATTTGATTGTTTTAAATGGGAGACCCCATTGCAATTAACAGTGGTTTTGCTTAAGTAACAAAACACAATTAGTCTACTTGTAAGCTCATGAAGTTCTATTATATGAAGTATTATCTTTCTGCAAGTTCTAATTTAAGTATTTATGAAGTTTTGTTTTAAAGCTGRCATTTTGTTTATTTCAAACTAATATTGTATCGTTCGATTAGATTATAAAACATGAAAAAATACTTTAACCCTTTTTAGAATCATACTTACGAAAAGTCAAGCTACACAAATTCAGAAACATCTGGAAGCATACCTGTAAATTGGGCTGTCAGAATTAGAGTTGGGAGTCCTATTGTAATATATTTCCAGAATATTATCACATAGAGAACATATGAGGGTTTGTAAAGGAACACAACCCATCAATTTGGACTAAATGCAAGAACGCACAAACCCTAAAAACACTAACTTCACCGCAAGCTAATCAATCAAAGTCCTACAGAGTACCAACTCTTTTTGTATCAAAGTCCTACAGACTGACAGACACCCAGCTCCTGAGGCCTCACCAAACTTGAAAGCAATAAAAATAATTACAAAATGGCAGATTAAGCAGTTCCATAGAAACAAACTCAGCACAGTGCAATGTTCAGCAAGAGCTTGACATCGCTGTGGAGCACTGAAAGGTTCTGTGTTGCCATGGGCAAAACTCTGAAAAGAAAGGTGACTAATTCTGGTAAACAGGTGAGATTTAATAATGTTAAAAATGAGCAACTCTTAAAAAAAAAAAACCAATTATTGTTTTTAATTACACATTTCCCTATCCTTACATTCGTTTAAAGTCTGTTGACATTAGGTTGCCATCAATAAATCTTGTATGCTACCAGTGACCTAAAATAAGGCAGCTCATTGTCTAATTCTTTCAAAACTGGCATTTTTATAATATGATTCAAACATACTAGAAATTTGGGCTAGAAATCACATATTTTTTTCCCCAACAGTCCAAACTTGCTACTATATCACATCTTAGAGAGAAAAAAAAAATTAAGACTGCTTGAGCAACACTGAAGCCTTTCGTTAAATTACACCCCTGGAAAATAAGCTATGMTGAATGTTTTTGATACGTATCAATAAATTTAATTGCCACAAAATAAAAAGTTTTAAGGGGAGCGAAAAATCAAGCTGCAATCCCAAGTGAAGGTTTACCCTGTGCATAAAAATACATACCGACATATGCAAATATATGCAAAAAAATCTCAKAAAACCCTATTTATTCAATACATTTATTTTTAAAATGTTAAAGGAACATCCAGTCTCTTTCTCTCCTCTGTAGTTTATTGGAAAAAATTTAACTTAARAATAAATTTTACCAGAAGTTCTATTCTGCTCTTTACCTCCTACTCATTGTAACAAACTAAATACAATATTATGTGCTGGATAACTTTTGCGTAATGAAAATTAATAATTTGAAATAATAGTAACTTGAAACATGAAATCTAATACTGAAATAAAATAAAGCAGCTGGCTTTCCAGTTTTACATGAGCTAGAGACAGAAATAATTCTTTGTGTTCAGTTGAATACCAAAGTTGCATTGCCTGCAGAGGCAACAATTTATGCATTACACTAACTATTTCAAGTATTTTGCAAATTACATAGTATGATCTAAAAACCTAACCACTTTCTTTATTTTACAGTCTGATAATTTTACTTTTCCATATGGAATTTTCTCTTACGTTATGCCTCTTTTTTTGAATTTGCTGTTTAAGGTAGCTCGTAAGGTTTTCTGGGTTCTTAAATCTCCATATTCTGTAGAATGATGTTTTTTTTACATTTTAGGAAACAAAGAAATACAGCCCAAACACTCCCCAGCCCTCACTGGCCCTTCTCAAAAATAAAAGATTCCAGTACCTGGAGAGCCTGCAACAACTGCTCAGCAAACTGACGGACTTCCAGCAGGAGAAGTGATATTAAAGAATTTCTTAGTATGTTGTTCCTTCCTAGCAAATCCAGTGTTTGCGATACAAAATGAAGTGCCTGAAACTAAAGAGAAATAACAGCAAATTTAATCTTTCAAAATACATCTCTATCATTTTAATCCAAAACAATTACCTTAAGTAGAAATTTACATAATAAAATCTTAAAGAMAAAAGTCAAATTCAGAATTTTAAAGTTTAAAATTCTATTGATTATATACATATGAGATCTATGAGAAACTGACATCCATCCCCAAAARCTTAACACTACAGGAAACTGTCAAGTGAACAAATTCCTCCAAAAGTGTGAACTCCCAGGACACAGTTTTTCGATATCAGATGTCAACATGCCCATCTGCTGACATACAATATTGAAGACTACCTTGCACATACAGTTCTGCTTTTCACAGATACACAAATGAACAGATTCTTTGAAATACAAATATGTAAGCTAAGAGCTGTACTAGGATGTTCTGTCAATATAGTTATCAGGAAAAAACCTGATTAAATGCTATTTACAGGTTTGCATTGGATAAATACTGCTGGAAAACTTTTCCAAACACATGAAAGGCAGACAGGTGATCCAGGAGCTGTCAGAAGTGTTTTATTTAGGGAAACCTCGACTTTCCCACGGTTTTCAACACTGTCTCTTGTAAAATCCTCACTGGMCAAATTTTGGACTAGGTAGGTGGACAGCAAGGTGGACTTAAAACTTTTGCTGCAAAACCTATTAATCAGGCAGCTTTGCATTGACAGTTCCTGCTTGCCTGCCTGGTCAGCAGTTGATGCAATGTCTATTTACCGGCCTCTTCCACCTGAAGACTTGGATCAGCTTAGATATTATTTGTCCAATGTGAGACTTCTATTCACAGTCAGAACAATTCAACTTTAATAAAACTTTGCSCTCAATCATCTCACTTCTGCATGTATTCCCAAAACAAATACCAAAAGAAATCTATGAAAGACACACAAGTCTCAAGTTCAGAATCAGATCTGAAGGCAGGCAGAAATACAAAATAAACTTCTCCTATTAAAGAGTATTCATAGATTGTACACATATAGCTTTGAAAACCTCTGTAATTAAAATCATTCATCTACGTATACAACAAAATATGAATAAATATGAAGTGTGAATGAAGATGAGATAAAAATAGGTTTCTGAACAATTAAAATTATATGAATGGATAATGTAATGCATGCACCTWCCTTTGCTTTGAGGATATATGAATYAAAATGAGAATTTCGTATACCAGAAATATATACCTTTCCAAAAAACCCAATGACTTCTCTTGCTAAAAATAAACTAGAAATTACAGTTTTGGAACTGTCTTCCACAGTATCTACTAGAAACAAGTTTGCAGCACCTGGATAGTTCTGCCTTGACAGCACCCATGTTCCTAAAGGTACAACTGCTTCAATTTCAGGTTTAAAAAATGCTTTAAAAACAGCACATTTTTCACTGAAGTTTGCAYTCATTYTTACTTCTTTTAATAAATTAAAGASTGATGCATATTTTACAGTTCTGTGTTTTCAGAGCATAACACCAAGTATACTYGTTAATTTGCCTTTGGCAAGCAAGCAAACTAGGAAATCTAGAATTTTTCAGGGTAACCTCTCCAAAACTTCATACTAAAACACAATTATTGTTGTTCTTTTTTAATTTCTCTTCTATTTGATTACATTATTTTTTGACAGATAGTGAAGCAATGATTTTTTTTTGTGCAATTATTAATGCTAGTAGCTGAGATTTAACTAAAATAGGATCTTTCACAAAATTTCCATATCCTTTACAGTTTGGCAAGAGTTGCCATTTTCTAGTTGGAGTTGTAGAGGACTAGATAACAGGGGACCTTGAAATTTAAAGCCTAAGCCTCTACTAAGAGAAGCAAATAGGTATTTTGTATTTTGTAATGAAGCCAYTTAAAGAACTTGAGATATGGGTATCAATGCTACTGAAAAATCCTGGTGAATTTATTAATATTTAATAAATATTCTTATTAAACATATCCTTATAATAYAACTATTTCATAGCACTATATTATGGAAAATTCATTATAATTATATTTAATAAAAATCAATACTGATTTTTAAAATCCCACTGATTTATTAAYGAACATCAATTTTACATTATTTCTTGGTGTAGCTCTTATATTCCTATATGAATATATTAAGAAATTAAGTACATTTTAAGAAAATAAGAGACAACAGAGAAGGTTAAAATAATGTTCACAGACTGTATGCATTAAATGCATGCAAAACAAACACAGCACATAAGCAGTAAATCTGTAAATAGCAAGCAGAAGTAAGACTGTTGTAGAGCAATGCTCATGTATTGCTAATTAAACTCTGGAAACAATCAAACTAAAAAAAAATGAAATAGTATTGTAGTTTCATTAAAGATAAAAGCCATGTGTTCAGTTGCATACCTATTCAATGTTAAAAAGGAGACAAAATCTTTCAGTTCCTTGGGCTTGTTTAATAGTTTTGGTTGAAATAAAAATCCATGCATTTCAGGAATTCTCAGGTAAAAGCAGTCAGAATATTAGATTGTAAAAATGTATAATTAGAAACAGGAAATAATGGAGCTGGGTTCACTGTTCAGGTCCTGCATCACCTCTCCCTAGCCCTCCTCCCACACCCTGGGTTCTACTGTCTTATGTTATTCAGGATGCAGAGCAAGAGAAGGCAATGCTGTGACAGCAGCTGGGAAGGATGCATGGATTGTCGACCTCGCTGCTGCCAAAATGAATACACAATGTCAATGTTCAGCTTATCTCAGGCATACTAACTTGGTCTCCCCTCCACCCAGCTACAGACTTTAACACCTACTTGGAAGGTATTATTGACCTTCCACTTCTTTCCAAGTGATTTCAAGGTGGCTATCAAAAGTTACTCATAGAGGAAATGACTGATAACCAAAGCAGAGAACACACTCCTGTAAGCCCTGTTTCCCAGGAAACTGCATGAAAATTAATTAGTTTTTTATAACTCATTTATCAGCGAGTTAGATTTTATTTAGTAAGGRGTATCTAAAATTTGTGAGTTTAATTCCTTCATGAGTTGCATGATTCACTACACCCTGTAACTGTGATAACTACACTTTAATTTCCGTTTTGCTGATTTATAGTTTTTGGGCCAAGTAAGAACTCTCTTTTTTTTCCAAGTACCTGGTATATTTGGCAATACAGAACAGGCAACAATTATTACAGGTATCCTCAAATTGTGAGGTGTTAACTAAACAAAACTATTTTCACCTTTGATTTCACATTACCCTTGCCCATTTAGCTCAACGTGACTTCCTCTCATAATCATCAATGCCAATTAAAAAGCTCACTTTTATACAGAGGTTAGCATCTCTTTTCTTACCTTACTTCACATTGCTTCCTTTGYTAATTGATGGTTGTCATGCATCTCTCTTCCTGTTCACACATCAATATTTCTTCTATCAGTCTTGGGAACTGATACATATTATTTCAACTCTTTGCTTTGTAGGCCACATATCAAACCCTTACTCTGCCCTTACCCYTTCACAGAATCATAAAATCACAGAATGTAAAGGATAGAAGGGACCTAAAGATCTAGCCCCAACCCTCTCTGCCATGGGCAGAGACACCTCCCATCAGACCAGGTTGTTCTAGGCCTCACCCAGCCTGRCCTTGAACACAGCCAGGGCTGGCATATCCACAACTTCTCAGGGCATTACCCCCCTCACAGTAAAGAATTTCTTTTTAATACCGAGACTAAATTTGCCCTCTTTCACAATCTTGTTCATGCTTTTCTCCACTCTCCTTATTAGAACCTGATGTTCTCCACTAGAACCATCAGCTGGCTTCACTGCTGCAGCTTKCAGATTCAGGCTTGTCCCTGGCAAGCTGTGGGGTGATATGTAAAGGTTAGAAGGATGGGGTGATAGTGAGGATCCTCTGCTGCTGACTCTGAAATGTGCTAGCCACACTGAAGAACAGTCTTAGGGTGATGAGCCAGGAACTTCTGAGGTAACAGAAGCCAACAGGGAAACACCAGGGAAATGTCTCAAAGGAATTAAGGTGTGTTCTTCCAGGAAGGCAACATGGATGCAAACTCAGCTGAAGTGCCTTTATACCAATGCACAGAGCATGGGCAAAAACTAGAGTTGGAAGCCACGGTGCTGCTAAGAAGCTACAACATTGTTGCCATTACTGAAACTCAGTGGGACAAATCCCATGGCTGGAACATGATTATTGAGGGCTAAATGGTGTTCAGAATAGAGAGGGGAGGAAGGAGAAATGGAGGAATTGCCGYCTGCATCAAGAGCTGGATTGAGTGTGGAGAGCTGTCTCTGAAGAACAACCATGAGCAGCTCAAAAGTCTGTGGGTAGGAAGCAGAGATTGAGGCAACAAAGGGAACCTTGCGATTGGGGTCTACTACAGGCCCCTGTTCGAGGGGAGCCTATTAACCAAGTCTTTTTCAAGAAGAAATTGTGCTCACAGAGGGGAACTTTAGCCCCCTCCAAACATCTGCTGGACAAGCTAACTTTATCCTGTAGTTCTTCCATAATTGTAGCTTTAGTGTATGATGTATATCAGCTGAGGCTGGCTGAGGAGGGAAGACCAACAAAATTTTCTTTCATTCATTCTTGTCTAGCTACTTCTATGATCCACTTTACTGAAGTAAATGAAGGTCAGTCAGTTTGATGATTGCTTTAGACTGTAGTAATTTACAAGACAATGGATTTTGATTACCATTTGACTTAAACAACTCTCTACATAAGGACAACAGATTGCTGAGAAAATTTAATTCAATAATCAAGAGATTCAAACATCGACTCTTACTAGACCTTAAAATTCACACAAATGAAATGCTCTGCCTCTMTAAAAGCAAAATTTTGATGATGAAAGCTGATGAAAATGCACCCATGGTATTCTTCTTGGGACTCAATTCATTAGGAAAACTGAAGCCTATTAGTTTTACACTTGAAAATGAAGAACTATTTTAAAATCTTTTTTGTCCCTATGCAGGAAGGACTCTTGTATGGTGAGTTAAGTACTGTCCTGGCAGTGGCTGACAAARGATRCCACAAACTATA